GGGCCAGAAGGACTCGTACGTCGGTGACGAGGCCCAGTCCAAGCGCGGTATCCTCACGCTCAAGTACCCCATCGAGCACGGCATCGTGACCAACTGGGACGACATGGAGAAGATCTGGCACCACACCTTCTACAACGAGCTCCGCGTGGCTCCCGAGGAGCACCCCGTGCTGCTCACCGAGGCCCCGCTCAACCCCAAGGCCAACCGCGAGAAGATGACCCAGATCATGTTCGAGACCTTCAACACGCCCGCCATGTACGTCGCCATCCAGGCCGTGCTCTCCCTCTACGCCTCTGGCCGCACCACCGGTATCGTCATGGACTCCGGCGATGGTGTCACCCACACCGTGCCCATCTACGAGGGTTACGCTCTGCCCCACGCCATCCTGCGTCTCGATCTCGCCGGTCGCGATCTCACCGACTACCTCATGAAGATCCTCACCGAGCGCGGCTACTCGTTCACCACGACCGCCGAGCGTGAGATCGTGCGTGACATCAAGGAGAAGCTGTGCTACGTCGCGCTCGACTTCGAGCAGGAGATGGCCACCGCTGCGTCGTCGTCGTCGCTCGAGAAGTCGTACGAGCTTCCCGACGGTCAGGTCATCACCATCGGCAACGAGCGTTTCCGTTGCCCCGAGACCCTCTTCCAGCCCTCGTTCCTCGGCATGGAGGCCGCCGGCATCCACGAGACCACCTACAACTCCATCATGAAGGTACTCCACCCCCCCACTACCACCCTCCACCATACCCCGCCTCTCTCTCCTCCCCCCCCCACTTACATTTGGTTCTCTCTCTTTTCCATTTGCACAGTGCGACGTGGACATCAGGAAGGACCTGTACGGTAACGTCGTGCTCTCCGGCGGTACCACCATGTTCCCCGGCATTGCCGACCGCATGCAGAAGGAGCTCACCGCGCTCGCGCCGTCGACCATGAAGATCAAGATCATCGCTCCCCCCGAGCGCAAGTACTCCGTGTGGATCGGTGGCTCCATCCTGGCCTCGCTCTCCACCTTCCAGCAGATGTGGATCTCCAAGGAGGAGTACGACGAGTCTGGTCCCTCGATTGTTCATCGCAAGTGCTTTTGAAAGGAGAAACATCGGGCGGGAAAGAAACCCTCCATTGTCCACCGCAAGTGCTTCTAAGCGGTGAACTTCTCCCCGTACATTACACGAGTGGTGTAACCATGCTCGCTCTCTGAAGAGCTCAGTCCTGTACCTGATTGTCTCTCAATACAAAGCATGACCTCACACACAACACTTCTCGTCCATAGCCAACATTCCTCAAAATCCGCTTGCGCTACGCACAAGGCACTGGGCTGGAACAAAGAATTGTAAGAATGTTAAGTGTATTTTGGAAGAGGGAAGAGTGGGCTTAGTGAAGCTTGTTCATGAGCTCGCGGTGGCGGCGCTCCTTCTCGTACTCCTTCTCGCGGCGGCGACGCTCCTTCTCCCACTGCTTCTGGCGCTCGCGCTCCTCCTCGATGCGGGCCTGCTCCTTGCGGCGGGCGATGGCGGGGGTGAGCTCCCACTCGACCACCTCGCCCAGGTCTGCCACGGCCTTGGCCACCAGGGCCTGGTTGAACTGCACCAGCAGGGCGCCGTCGGCCACGCGGACCTGGTACATTTGGGTCTGGTAGCGGTGGCCCTCGAAGGCCGGCGTTGAGTCCGCGGTGTCGATCACCAGCCGCACCACCTTGGCGCGCTCCACCAGCTGCGCGCGCGCGTCGGGGCTGTTGGTGCAGAGCCACGCCACGCCGCCCTTGCCGGTCACGATCTTGCACGGCAGGTCGTAGAGCACGGTGAGGTAGTCCACCAGCTGGTTGAACGCGCCCAGGGACTCGACGTGCTTGGACTTGAGCACCTCGGTGAGGTCCATCTCCACGCTCAGGGGCGCCGTGGCGGCCGCCGTGAGCTCCTCGCTGCTCTTCTTGAGGTTGGGCGGGCCGTGCCTCTCCAGGAAGTGAGCGATGATGACCGGGCGCAGCTGGAGCGCCTGGCAGAGCTTCTGACCCCACGAGGCGCCGTCGTGGGCCGAGGCCGACAGGGTCACGTTCAGCACCAGCGTGGTGCCCTCCACGGTGGGACGGCCAGCGACGGTGCCGTCGTTGTCGCCGCAGCCGGCCTCAAGGTCGACCTTGACCACGACGGCGTCCACCTTCTGCGCGATGGTCTCGCGCACGAGGGAGAGCTCGCACAGCTGGGGGAGGCCCTGCGCTCCGAAGAAGATCGACTCGAGCAAGCCGTTGCAGTAGGCCAGCACGTACTGCCTCTTGTGCAGAGGCCTCCATTGCTACATCACCACAACACGCCAACGTCAGTTATGCCCGTGTGTGCGGTGGCGCGTGTGTCGTGTGTCATGACCAACGTACCTGGAAGGTGGGGTTGGTGGTGAAGTCCCAGTTGGGGGTGAACGGGAGGGCCTTGCCGACGGTGGAGGCGATGCGCTCGGCGACCTTGGCCTTGTAGGACTCGAGCGCGTCGTACTGGGCGATGGGCACCAGCGCGTCGAACGCCTCCTCGCCGCGGACCTGCCAGTGGCCCGCGAACAGGCCCTTGGCCACAACGCTGCGCAGGTCGAGCTCGACGTGCAGCTCGCCCTCCTTGTTGAGCACGTTGTCGACACTGCCCTCGGGCGCCACGTGGAAGTAGACCCGCTTGAGCTTGGCCGAGTAGCAGGCCTTGCCCACCGGGTGGTGGTTGGTGACCAGCACGCCCTGGGCCACGACGCACTCGGGGAAGCAGGCGTGGAGGCACTCGACGACGTAGGACTTCATCTCGGGCAGGAGGGCCTCGAACTGCGGCGTGTCGACCAGGCTCCAGTCGGCCTCGATCGGCACCGGGCGGCCGAGACCGTCGGCCAGCGCGGCCACCACCGCGTTGTAGCGCTCGTCGGCCAGGGCCTTGTGCACCTGCACGATGACCCGGAGCAGGTTCTCGACCCGCTCGCGGCGCGCGAGAATCTTGCCCAGCTGGGTGGACGACGTGTAGCCGACCGAGACGCCCATGACGCTGCCGTTCATCGACAGGACGGGCTCGGCGGCGACGTTCTTGGTCTCGAGCACGACCAGCACCGAGTCGATGGCGGCGGTGATGGCCTTGAAGCCGATCTCGTGGGTGAGCGAGGTGCGGAGGCCGGCGGTGGCGTTGGCGGCCACGGCGTAGACGTTGCGCATGTAGCCGACCACGGTGTCGTGGCCCAGCCCGACGAACTCGGGCAGCGCGACGAAGGCCTCCCAGTTGATGCCCACCGCGATGGGCTTCTTGGCCTGCTCGCTCAGCTCCTTGGTCAGCTTCGCGCACGACCGGTTGGCAGCCTCGATCTCGATCGGGATCGTGGCCTCGGTGATCCACTCGATCTCGTCCTGCAGCTTCGCGTGGCGACGCGTAGCCTGGTCGTAGCCCATGGTGATGTTCTGCGCGCGCCAAAAAGTATGATGACGTCAGCAGCCACTTCAACCATCTACAGCCACGTGGAAGGAGTCGCGTACGAGGGTGCGGTCGTTCAGCTTGAGGGACCAGGCGGCGGGCGTGGGCTCGAGCGTGATCACGACGCGGTCGATCCTCTCGCCGAGAATGCGCTTACCAGCCTCGGTCCACTCGCTCGTGCTCTTCCAGCTGTTGCGTGGTGTGAGTGAATACATTGTTTTTTTTTTCGACCAAAGCGTGGGGGGGGGTTGGACGTACATCTCGGTGAGGTATTCGAGCTGGGTGGTGTGGAGGCCACGCAGGACGGTCTCGACGCGCTGGGCGCCGAGAATCTTGAAGGGGTGAGAGCGGAGCGTGGGCGCCCAGTTGATCTCGGCCTCGACCTTCTTGCCCACGAAGGCGCTGGCCTTCTCCTCGAAGGTGCGCAGCTTGAACTCGGAGACGTACTTCTCGGTGAAGATGGCCATCGCGGCCGACCACTTGACGACGAACTCTTGGCGGAAGGTCTCGGTCGAGCCCTTGCCCTCGTTGACCGTGATGAGCACCTCGTTGTTGTCCTGCACGTCGATGTTGTACCAGCCCACGCTCGGGAAGTCCTCAAGCTATTCGACATACGCAAGAGCTCCGGTGAGTGATCACTGTGTGTCGTGTGTGTGTCGTGTGTGTATCGTGTGTGTGTGTGTGTGTGGTACCGGGTCGGAAACGCGGTTCTCCATGTCCCAGGCGAAGGCGATCCTGCGGACGTAGCGCTGGAGGGCCTCGCGGGCCGTGGGGCTGGCCTCCTTCATGATCTGGCACAGGCCCTTGATGCTGGGATGCGTCGTCGCGTAGGTACCCTGCGGGATGAGGGTGTCCCAGAAGCGCGAGATCTGCTTGGCCTTGTCCTTCGGATCCCACGACTGGAACTTCTCGTTCAGGCCGAACGGCGCTGTAGCACAACCGCGACTACACGTGAGCATCACTGTGTGTGTGGTGGCGTGTGCGTGTGCGTGTGCGTGTGCGGTGGTGCGTGTCGAGGAACGTACCGAATTCGATATCGATGTAGGCGTTGAGGCGCGCCTTGTCGGAGAGTTCCTTCATGCGTACCGGGGCCTTGGCTTGCGCCTGGCACACGGCGATGTTGTACAGCCTGTCGAGCTTGATGCGCAGGCCGTGCTCGAGCTGGATCTGGCCGTTCTGGGTCATGTTGAGCGTGACGATCAGGTCGCCATCCCTGTTGCGCTCGGCCTTGTAGTTGTGCCTCTCACGGCCGTCGAGCACCGAGTCGGTCGGGTCGTACTGGAGCGCGATCCGCTTCGTGTTGGCCTGCACCAGGTTGCGCGCCACCTGGTCGGCGCCGATCAGCTGCGCCAGCGCGCCCACCACCTGGCGCGCGCAGTTCTGGTAGAGCGTCTTGATGAGCTCGAGCTTGGTGCCGTCGGGCTTCGAGGTGAAGCTCTGGTGGTTGACCCAGTTCTCCCAGTTGAAGCAGATGGGCACCGTGGCGCCGACCGCGCGGGCCAGCTGCTCCTCGAGCGGCGTGACGAAGGTCTTCATGGGACCCACGTTCAGTCCCGCCGGCGGGTCGAGCGACGCAGCCAGCGCCTGGAACGACGTCGGCTCTGGCAGCAGGAACGGAATCTGGTGCGCAAATATGTGTGGTGGTTTGGGTGGTCAGTACGGTTGCGCGGGCCTTAAGGCGGCGGTGGAAGCTGCGTACCTCCTTGGGCGGCTGGTAGGGAGTGAAGGCGCCCTTCTTGGCGGGCTTGTCGGAGGCGGCGGCGTCGTCGGATTCGGGGGCGGCTTCGATGACGCCGTGCTTGGCCTGGGCGATCTTGACCTGCTGCTCGGCCTCGGCGAGCTTCTGCTTGAGGTGCTCGGCGGTGGTCTGCGCCTCGGCGTTGGCGCCGAACTGGGCCAGCTTGGCGAGCAGGCGCTTGGCCTTGGCCACCGTGTCGACGCCCTTGCGGTACTCTTCCTCCTGGAGCCACTTGGCGATGAAGGTCGACAGGGCCGAGGTGGTCTTGCGCGCGTCGTCGAGCGCGGGCTGGAGGTGGTACTTGATGCGCAGCTGCGACAGGCGCTCCTCGGCGGCGAGCAGGGCCTGGTGGGCGCTGGAGAGCACGCCCTCGGTGGCGCTGTCCTCCTTGAAGGGCTGCAGGGCCTTCACGAGCGCCTGCAGCTCCTGTTGCAGCTCGAGGCCCTGCTCGAAGTTCTCCTGCGTGGTCCACTTGCTGCTGGCGGCCCGCAGCTGGCTCACGGCGGCCTCGGTCTTCTTCTTGAGCGGCTCGGCCTGGAACTTGAGGCTGGCCGACTTCATGGCGGCTTGGGCGGCCAGGATCTTCTCGCGGGCCAGGCGCGCGGTGGCCTCGGCCTGGCCGTCGCTGAAGGCCTCCAGGCGCGGGACGAGCGTGCTGAGCTCGTCCAGTGACTCCACCGCGGCGTTGTAGCACTCCTCCACCCACCATTGCGAGACGAAGCGCTGTGTTGTGTGAAACATGGAGCGACTCAGTCAGTGCGACCGCACACGCACGCACGCGAACTCGAAAATGGTGCGAACGGCAGAACGTACGTTGAGCTTGTCGAAGTGCTGCTGGACCTGCTTCCTCAGCGGCTCGGCCTCGTACTTGGCCTTGGCGAGCGGGAGGTTGGCCTGCGCCTTGGCGATCTTCTCCTTGGTGTTGGCGATGACGGAGCTCACGTGCGAGTCGGCCGCGTAGGCCTCGAGAGCGGGCACGAGGACCTTGAGCTCCTCGAGCGCCTCCGAGGCGGTGTTGAAGTACTCCTCGTGATGCCACGACTTGATGAAGTTCTGTTGTATGTTGGGCGATTGGAGGGTGTGATGCACGAACGCGCGGGTTTAGCGACAGGAATGTGCCAACGAAGAGAAGGAGGAATGTAAATGGAACGCGACGTACGTCGAGCTTGGCGGCGACCTGGCCGACCTGCTGCTTGAGGGGCTCGGCCTCGAACTTGAGCTTGGCCTGCGGCACGACGCTGTTGGCGGCCTGGATTCGGTCCTTGGCCACCTTGATGGTCGTCGCCACGCTCGAGTCCGACGCGTAGACTTCCAGGGCCGGCAGGAGCGCCTCGAGCTCGCCGATCGCCTCCATGGCCGTGTTGTAGTACTCCTCGTGCTGCCACGTCTTGATGAAGTTCTGGAATGTAAAGAACGACGAGTGGCGGTGGCAGTGTCAGCGCCGCAGGAGGAAAGGAATTCAAGAGAGAAGTGGAATGCGGGGAATGCACGAACCGGCAGCTTGTCGGCGGACTTGCCGACCATCTCCTGGAGGGGCTTGGCCTCGAAGCGGGCCTTGGCCAGCGGGAAGTTGGCCTGGGCCTTCTGCACCTTGTCCTTGGCGGAGTTGATCGTCGACGCCACGTAGCTGTCCGAAGCGAAGGGCTCCAGCGCGGACATCAGGGCGTTCACCTCGTCGACGGCCTCGATCGCGGTGTTGTAGTACTCCTCGTGCTGCCACGTCTTGATGAAGTTCTGTGGTGTGTGTGTGTGTGTGTGTTGGTCGACGGGCATGCATGGGGCAGAGGAGTTGGAGAGAGCGTACGTCAAGCTGGCTGGCGGCCTTATCGAGGCCGGCACGGAGAGGCTCGGCGGCGTACTTGAGCCGGGCCTGGGGGATGTTGGCCTCGGCCTTCTGGATGCGCTCCTTGGCCACACGGAGCGTGCTCGCCACACTCGAATCCGAGGCGAACTCCTCGAGCGCGGGCAGGAGCGTCTCCAACTCCTCCATGGCCTCCATGGCGGTGTTGTAGTACTCCTCGTGCTGCCACGTCTTGATGAAGTTCTGTTGTTGTGTTTCGTGTCAATCTCAGCGTTTGAGTGGTTGCGGAGAGTGACAGGATAGAATGGTGGGGGAGACGTACGTCGAGCTTGGCGTAGAGCTGGTCGACCTTGTTGCGCAGGGGCTCGGCCTCGAAGCGCGCGCGGGCCTGGGGGAAGTTGGCCTTGGCCGCCTGGATCTTGTCGCGCGCAGTCTTGATCGTGCGCGCCACCTGATCGTCGGAGGCATAGGTCTCCAGAGCGGGCAGGAGCTGCTCCAGCTCATCGATGGTCTCCACCGCCGTGTCGTAGTACTCCTTGTACTGCCAGCTCTTGATGAAGTTCTGTTGTGGCAGATCGAAATATTAGCGAGCGTGTCGTGCTAAATTTGTTGTGTCGTTTTGTGAAGGGAGACGTACGTCGAGCTTGGTGTGGGTGGTGCCCACCCTGTCGCGCAGAGGCTCGGCCTCAAACTTGATCTTGGCCTGCGGGATGTTGGCCTCAGCCTGCGCGATCTTCTCCCTCGCCGCCTTGATGGTCTCGGCCACGTGCGTGTCAGACGCGAACGTCTCGAGCGCGGGCAGCAGCAGGTTGAGCTCGTCGATCGTCTCCACCGCCGTGTTGTAGTACTCCTTGTGGTGCCACGACTTGATGAAGTCGTTGAGCCTGCTGTACGCCTGGGTGACCTGGTCCTTGAGGGCGGCAGACTCGAACTTGACCTTGGCCTGCGGGATGTTGGCCTCGGCCTGCGCCATCTTGTTCTTGGCGTTCTTGATCACTTCGGCCACGTGTGAGTCCGCCGCGTAGACCTCGAGCGCGGGCAGGAGCATGCTCAGCTCCTCGAGGGCCTCCATGGCGTCATTGTAGTACTCCTGGTAGTACCAGTCCTTGATGAATTTCTGGTATGTGTCGGTGCAGAATAAAATGTTAGTTGGGCCAACGCACGCGATGGCTGTCGCTTGGCAAAGTGCCAAACATTGCGAAGCGTTTCGGTGGAGCGTACGTCGAGCCTTCCCTGGGTCTTGTTGACCTGGTCCTTGAGCGGCTCGGCCTCGAACTTGACCTTGGCCTGCGGGATGTTGGCCTCGGCCTGCGCGATCTTGTTCCTGGCGTTCTTGATCACATCGGCCACGTGCGAGTCCGATGCGTAGGCCTCGAGCGCAGGCAGGAGCGAGTTGAGCTCATCAATGGCCTCAACGGCAGTGTTGTAGTACTCCTGGTAGTACCAGTCCTTGATGAATTTCTGGTAATGTTATGTGTCGGGTGTTGGAGGCAAAAAGACCGGTTAGTCCGACGCGACAAGGAAGTGGGGGTGGGAGGGAGCGTACATCGAGGAGCTGCTGGGTCTTGTTGACCTGGTCCTTGAGCGGCTCGGCCTCGAACTTGACCTTGGCCTGCGGGATGTTGGCCTCGGCCTGCGCGATCTTGGTCTTGGTGTACTTGATCACGTCGGCCACGTGCGAGTCCGCCGCGTAGGCCTCGAGCGCAGGCAGGAGCGAGTTGAGCTCCTCGAGGGCCTCAATGGCGTCGTTGTAGTACTCTTGGTAGTACCAGTCCTTGATGAATTTCTGTCGGTGTTGTTGGTTGGTGTCGTGCGGGTCGTGAGCGAATTGCGCACACTAGCAAACAATCAGGTGTAGTGTGCGGGCGCAAAAGACGTACATCTAGCCTTCCCTGGGTGGCGTTGACCTTGTCCTTGAGGGCAGCCGACTCGAACTTCATCTTGGCCTGCGGGATGTTGGCCTCGGCCTGCGCCATCTTGTTCTTGGCGTTCTTGATCACATCGGCCACGTGCGAGTCCGATGCGTAGACTTCGAGCGCGGGCAGGAGCGCGTTGAGCTCCTCGAGGGCCTCCATGGCGTCGTTGTAGTACTCCTGGTAGTACCAGTCCTTGATGAATTTCTGTTATGTCGTCGTTGCACGGTGTTTGTTAGCATCGAGTGAAAGAAGGCCAGCGGACAAACTGAGAGGAAGAACGTACGTCGAGCCTTCCCTGGGTCTTGCTGACCTGGTCCTTGAGCGGCTCGGCCTCGAACTTGACCTTGGCCTGAGGAATGTTGGCCTCGGCCTGCGCCATCTTGTTCTTGGCGTTCTTGATCACATCGGCCACGTGCGAGTCCGCCGCGTAGGCCTCGAGCGCAGGCAGGAGCGAGTTGAGCTCCTCGAGGGCCTCGATAGCGTCGTTATAGTACTCCTTGTAGTACCAGTCCTTGATGAATTTCTGTGGTTGGTTGTTGTTGTTGGACGCCATGCATTGTGTGAGTGAGTTGTGAAAGCAAGCAACGAATGACTGCCCAGACGTGCGTGTGAGAGAGGGGGAACCACGTACGTCGAGCCTTCCCTGGGTGGCGTTGACCTTGTCCTTGAGGGCAGCCGACTCGAACTTCATCTTGGCCTGCGGGATGTTGGCCTCGGCCTGCGCCATCTTGTTCCTGGCGTTCTTGATCACATCGGACACGTGCGAGTCCGATGCGTAGACCTCGAGCGCGGGCAGGAGCGCCTTGAGCTCCTCGAGGGCCTCCATGGCGTCGTTGTAGTACTCTTGGTAGTACCAGTCCTTGATGAATTTCTGTTGTGTGTTGTGATGGTGTATGCAACGCGTGAGTCACCGCTTCATTCGCAATAAAGGGCAGCGAAGGAGAGGTTGAGCGACGTACGTCGAGCCTTCCGTGGGTCTGGGTGACCTGGTCCTTGAGCGGCTCGGCCTCGAACTTGACCTTGGCCTGCGGCACGTTGGCCTCGGCCTGCGCGATCTTGTTCTTCGCGGTCTGGATGACACCGGCAATGTACGAGTCCGTGTCATAAGCCTGGAGCGCGGGCAGGAGCGCGTTGAGCTCCTCGATGGCCTCCATGGCGTCGTTGTAGTACTCCTTGTAATACCAGTCCTTGATGAATTTCTGTTGGAATATTTTGTGTCGGTGGTAATGAGTGATGAGTATTAGCCAGCGCAGCTCACCACATTGCAACGGGAGGAGCAAGAGTGTGACGGGGGCCTGAACGTACATCGAGCCGGTTGTGGGTGGCGACCACCTTGTCGCGGAGCGGCTCGCCCTCGAAGCGGGCGCGAGCCTTGGGCATGACCGCCTCGGCCTCGGCGATGGACTTGGTCGCGTTGCGGATCATGTCGGCGGCGTAGCTGTCCGACGAGTACTGCTCCAGCACCGGCAGCAGCGACTTGATCTCCTCCGTGGCCTCCACCGCGTCATCGAAGTAGGGCTTGTGATGCCAGGTGTGGGTGAAGGTCTGCAGACAGCAACGAGTGTGTGAGTGCAACGTGCCAAAGGGAATAAAAGAAAAGAGAAGAGAAAACGGCCGACGTACGGAGAGCTTGCCAAGGAGGGACCTGATCTTCTCGATGACGCCCGAGGACTCGAAGCGCGCCTTGGCCTGTGGGATGAGGGCCTCGGCCTTGAGGACCTTCTCCTTGGCGTTCTTGACGTTGCTGGCCACGTAGGTGTCCGAGGTGTAGGCCTCGAGCGCGGGAATTAGCTGCTGGAGCTCCTCGAGCGCCTCGAGGGCCTTGTTGTAGTACTCCTCGACGTGGAAGCGGTTGATGAAGTCCTGTTGTTGTCGTTGTCGTTGTTGCTGTCACTCGCCAGACTCGCACGCACACCAACAAAGAGTCGAACAAGTCTTGTGCGAGGACGTACATCAAGCTTGCGGTGCGTCTCAGTCACCTTGTCATTGAGCGGACCGGACTCGAAGCGCGCTGTTCGCCGAAAAAAAAGGGGGGATAAGTCATGCAAATAATAATAAGTCTCGAACGGCGAAGGGCAATAAAAATGCATAATAATAATAACAAAAATAATAATAATAAAAGCATGCTATGAAGGGTGCTTACTCTTGGCCTCGGGCAGGACGGCCTCGGTCCTCCGAATCATGTCCCGGGCGTTGGTGAGGGCGGTGGCCACGTAGGAGTCGGAGGCGTACTGCTCGAGCTCGGGCAGGAGCACCTTGAGCTCCTCGAGGGCCTCGAGGGCCGTGTCGTAGTACTCCTTGACGTGCCAGCGGTTCACGAAAGGCTGTGAAAGCGAGAGAGAGAGGGCGGTCATGTCAACACATTTGGTTGACCAGAGCAGTGGGAGGCGAGTGGACGTACATCGAGCTTCCTGTAGGTGTCGACCACCTTGTTCTTGAGCGGCTCGGCGGCGAACTGGACGCCGGCCTTGACGATGAGCTCCTGAGCCTTGGCCATCTTCTCCTTTGCGTTCTTGACCGCGCTGGCCACATCGCTGTCGATGATGTACACCTCCAGGGCCGGTACCAGCGCCTTGAGCTCATCCATCGCCTCCAACGCGTCGTTGTAGTAGCTTTGCACGTGCGGGCGGCTGATGAAATCCTGTGTATCGCGCGCGCCGTGGCGTCAGCTGGAGGAAACAATTTGAACTTCAGGGCAGGGACGTGGCGTACGTTCAGCTTGGCGTGGGTGGAAGCCACCTTATCCCGCAGCGGCGCCGACTCGAACTTGACTGCACACACGCGTCACAGAAGAAAAAAATATGTCAGTTAGGGGTGAGGCTCAGCAGGGGATGAGTAGTAGTCGTACTCTTGGCGGCCGAGACGAGGGCTTCGGCCTTGGCGATCTGTCCCTTGGCGGACTTGACGAGATCGTCGACGGCTGAGTCGGCGACGTAGGCCTCGAGGGCCGGGACGAGCGAGGCCAGCTCCTCGAGGCCCTCCATGGCCGTGTCGAAGTAGCTCTGCACGTGCGGGCGGCTGATGAAGTCGGTGAGCTTCTCGCGGGACTTCCGGACCAGCTCGACCAGCGGCTTGGACTCGATGCGCGCCTTGGCCAGCGGGATGTTCTTGTTGGCCTTCTCGACGTTCTCCTTGGCGTTCTTCAGGGTGTTGGTCACGAAGCCGTTGACGTCGCCGAACTGCTCGAGCGCGGGCAGCAGGCCCTGCAGGCGCTCGAGCGCCTCCGTGGCCACGTTGTAGGCGTTCTCGTCGTGCCACCTGTTGATGAAGTCCTGCAGCTTGCCCGACCACGTCGCGACCTCCACGCGGAGCGTCTCCACCGAGCCGTCCTGCTGGTACTTGTTCAACTGTTCACCCAACACGTCAGCACCGCGCCTTGCAGCAGACCCAATGCTGGGGAGGGAGAGCAACTTACGGCGGCGTCGGCATCGGCAGCAGTCTGCAACGCGGCGACGACGACGCCCTTGGGCTGGGTATCGCCGGGCACGCTGACGCCGACGTGCTGCTCGAGCTCCGTCGCGTTGGTCCACAGCTCGTCCTTCAGCCGGCGGACCTCATTCGCCTCTGCACGAACACCACCACCACCACCACCACCACCACTCGTGAGAACCGGTGCCGCGATGGAAAGGGTGTGTGCTGACGTGGTGGCGGGCGAGAGACGGCAGCAAACCTTTCTCGTTGCAGATGCGGCCGAAGAGGACGCCCTTGAGGTGTCGCTGCTGGGCATCGGTGGACTTCAGCAGCTCCACCACCTTCTTGAGCTGCTCCGCGCCCTGATCGGCGGTCGAGGCGAGGGCCAGCTTGTTGGCGGCCTCCGCCAGACCCGCCTGGAACGTCGGCACCTTGGCCTTGGCCTGTGTGTGCGACCACCACCACGCGTTAGCTCACAACACTCCCACCCTCTCAAAAATTGCTGCGCGAGGTCCTGGTACCTTGTCGAGGGCGCCATATTTGGCGATGAAGACCTCAAGCGCGGGCTCGAGCTCGGCCACGGCATCGGCCAGCTTCTTCAGGTCCGCTTCCGCTGTTTGGGTTGCGCACAGTTAGCGCTGGAAAAGATGAAAGAAAACAACAATTTCTTTGTTTCATTTCTTCTGCCCGATATCTCAATGTGCCGGTCACGCGGGTGTTTGGTGACGATGGCGGTGGTGAAGGGGAGGAGGCGTACCAGGCCTGATGGCGGAGCCGGGCACGAAGATGACGGCGCGAGCGGCGTCCTGGGCCTTCTTGAGGAGCGCTTCGACGGCCTTGATTTCGGCATCGACCTCCTTGGCCTTGCTTGCTCCGTCGATCGCCGCAGCCGCCTGCACCACCGCAGCCTCCAGCGCCGGCAGCTTGGCCTGCACCTTGGCGTCGGACCTGTCCAGCTATTTCCCGTACACACGCACAAAAATGTAAGTGAGTATATATTTTTGTGTGTGAATATATTTATATTTTTTAATGAGATATTTTTATGAAATTATATGTCATAAAAGTCAAAAAACCATCGAGACAGATGTATAATTGCCATTTTATCTCCGTTGAGACTGGCAAAGAACGAAAAGGGAATTGGGGGGGGGGTTTACCTGGGCGATTTTGTCGTTGAGTTGGTTGAGGAAGTTCTGAGCCTTGGGCGCTTCGTTGGGCATGAGGTGGAGGAAGCGAGACGAGTTCTCCAGAGAGCCCTTCAGGGCCTCAGCTTCGCGCAACAGAGCGTCCATGATGGTTCTTTTGTGGTGTAATTACAAGACTGACTTGAGTCTGTGGTGATGTACAGGAACGGCGGCTTGTGCGGCGAGACGACCTTCGCACACAAGGACAAGAAAACGACGACACTACAAAACAGCGGCTCGAGCTTTGGCTTTATGCACACCGGAAGGCTCCCGCGATTGGCCGGCACACGGCGAATGAGCGCGTAAATTGCGGTACCTGGAAGCGGCCGCCGCGAAGAGGCTCTCTTCCTCTAACTCTGCGGTGTGGCCCACGTTTGACGCACACCGTTCCGGACCCTTTCTCCCTACCTGGAATCGCCAGCTTGTCAGACACACTCATACTCATACTCACAGCGGGGCTTATTCCCGGAGGCCCAACTGTCTGTGGGCAGCGACGGAGTAACAACACCATTTTCGACTCTCTGTGCAGTCCCAGCAACGCAGAGGCATTGCTGTGGAGGCCTCTGGAAGAGATGAGTATCTCATGAAGAAGAAGGCGTGTTGGTGGTCCGTTAGCCCGGGTGAGAAAGAGGAATAGATAGACGTTGGCGCGGTGAAGCTGCTGTCCAGCACGACCCGAAAAGTTGTCGGGTGCTGCGGGTAGCTTTCGAGGAAATTAGCGCTTGGTTGTGTACTTGGAAATTATGGGTTGCTTTTTATTTACACATACATACTGCTGTATCTACACCGTATCTACACCGCCCCCAAACAATCTATCTACATGTGAAGCACCTTGCCACCATCACGCACAGTACCCTCGTGGGCGGTGCGTTCGACTTCGACAACGCGCTGTTGGTCGACGACAGCCACCATCTCGTCAGTCTCCACGACCACCTCAGTGTGCGGGGCGGACACAGCGTGGGCGACCGACGGCGGGATGATCTGCTGCTTCACCGACGGCTTCAGTCGGCACGATTGGTCCAGCGTGAGGTCGCCAAACACGTAACTGAGAACAACAACATGAGCGGTGTCAGTCGCGTGGTGGTGCCAAGAGGAGAGTGATAGAGAGGTACCGGTATTCACAAAACTCGGGGTACTTGCACTTGGCAGCCAAATAGTCCCACGCGCAGTCATAGTCTCCGCGAGGCACTCGTGCGTGCTGGCGACCGATGCGAAAAAAGAGAGTCAGCACTTCATTGAGGACCTCTTCACGAGAGTAGATGAACACCAGAGCCTGTGGACTACCTTATGCGCAAACGAGCCAAACGACGGAATGGACGGACTCCCTTCGCCATACTCACCGGCCATCTGCTGCAGGACTGTTGGGTGGAGCAGGACAGAGGTCAGGGCCGTCATATGAGTTGGAGCTGAGGGACTGAGGAAATTGGGCGTACTGGAATGTTCGTGCAGGATCTCCTCCGCAAACTCGCGCAGGAAAACGCGGTTCTTGATGACGTCTCTGTGGTCGACCGCGTCAATCTCCCACACGGCAGTGGCCGAACCACGTCCGGTCTTGTTCACAGACTCGTAGAACGTGATCAACGGCTCGCCTGATATGGCCATCACGACAATCAGAATCGTTCGCTCAGCCGCACGTGCGTTCTCGAGAAGTTGTAGCAACGCACCTTGAATAATGATGTCCTTGTTCGGGTCGTCCTTATTGTAGAAACGCTGCGGAATCTTGGTGACGGTAACATCGTCGCCCAGCCACCGGTGGCACCACGACAGGGACACATAGGGCACCGTGCCGTCGCCTGCGAAAGGCCCACGCGCTGGGTTAGCAAGACCACTGGGGGGGGGGGCAGTCTAATCGAATTAAAATGCAACGCGTGCGGTGGGCAGCGCACCAGACTTGGTGTTGGCGCCGGATGGGTAGGTAGCGCCGGTCAGCTCAGAGTATATCCTGCCCTTGTCTTCGTAGGTGATGTCCTCGATGCGCCACTGTTCCCTGAGCAGATCGGTGGTGTAGTGGTACCCCAGTTCGGTGCGCATGTTGATGCCTGTGCCGAGGCCACCACCACCAACCCAATCGAAATTTAGACTACAATCACGCATCTATGTATGCCGGAGCGCAGAAGGCGTTCGGTGTGGGAACACATACCGTAGGCGCAGATGACCTTCTTGATGGGCGGGCGAGACCAAGTCGTGTAGTGCTCCATGACGGGATCGGAGAGGTAGTACTTGTTGATGATGTTGACCGTGTTGTTGACCTTGCTGTCGACCGGGGCGATGTCGTTCAGCGCGTCGAGGATCTGCGACGAGTTGTAGACCTGCGTCCACGGGAAGGGCTTGACCTTGTCGTTCTTCCGCGCCCTCTTCTTCAGCTGCTCCTGTCGCTTCTGCAGCGCCTCGGCCTTCTGCTGATCATTCGTTTCATTGCTCCGTTCGTATTCGGCGTTGGCAGCGGCCAAGAGCGCCTCCTCCTGCTGGCGGATGGCTTCAGTGTCGCGCTGCTGCTGCGTCTTGGCCCAGTCCGCGTTGGCGGTGATGGTGATGAGGTTGTCGATCGGCCAGATGTTGCTATGCTCTCCCCGCGGATTGAACGGAATGTTCCACGAAGGTGTACCAAACCTGCACGAGACAGCAACAAAGCACATTTTCGGTTACTTGATAGAAACCAAAGCAATTGGGCGAAGAGAGAGAGAGAGAGAGAGAAGGACGTACGTGGAGGCCATTTCCCGGGCGAGCTCGGGGCTGATGCGAGGCAGACCAAAGGTAACACCACTCATGATGCCTTCAAAGGCTTGCGGCGCGCCTGTGACCGGTCGATAGAGAGATGTCGTGAGTGTTAACGATGAAAGTGAGAAAACGGAAAGTGAGGGTCGAAGGCCTGGCCGTACCGAGCAGGGGAGCACCAACGGCCACATAGGCAGCGATGTTGTCGTCGAGCCACGCCTGGTACTTGTCCTTCTGGTAGTCTTCAAGCCACTCCAGGAAATACCTGAAGACGTTGTTGCCTGCCGATCACGCAAACAAAAGGTGGTGAGCGAGGTGGTCGCCACATGCGCATGCGTGGCTGCGTAGGCACCCATAGAGTGAGCCATGACGATGAGGCCGGGGTGGGCGAGCTTCTTCGTCCGGCGCTGGGTCTCCACGGTGAGCTCGATCTTGACCATGAGCGATCGGAAGAAGTAGTCGCGCTCCTGCAGCTTGCTGGGTGCCAGGCGGAAGTCGTAGGGCGCTGCCACGATCGTCGTGCCCGGCTCGTAGTCGAAGATCTCCACCATGGCGCGCACGAACTCTTGCCACACGGTCGACAGAGGCCCAGTCAAAATGCCTGCCACCGCCACATCGTGTGGGTTAGGCGCGGCGAGCCTGGGCTGTAGAGTTATAATAAAAGAAGCAGAACCGTACCGGGGTCGAGCTCGCCGATGGCGGTCATGCCCTCGCCGGGGCGAAGCTTGCACCCATTGGGCGGGTCGGAGAGGTCCTCGGGCACCAGCTTCATGCACTCCACCCAGCACGTCGGGGCGCCCAAGATCTTGGCCACATCGATCCAGACTCTGTGTGTGTTGGCGGCCACCGGTGGCGAGACGGTCAGAGTCAGCTTACGTGTCTCGGTAG